TGCATTCCTGCAACCACCCTCCTTCAGAGGGCCCTCCACCCACTCCATACCGATGGTCTCTCTCTCTTAGTTTCCATCGATTCGTCTTCAGACCTGACAGGACCTCTATCTGAGATTTGCTTGACTGTGCCCACGACCTCCTCCATCTGCCCTCCAGGGCTTGGCTGGTGGGGAAATAATAAGCAGGGTTAGAGGCTGAAAAGTGAGCAAAAACAGCATCACAAAAGGAATATAGGAAATTATGGGACAGGGAATGGACTGGCTCAGAAGGTTGCCTGCAATGTTGGAGGGAGACCGGAGGCTAAGGGATTGCAGGGATTGAGGCTGGATGACTGGGTGCAGGGGCCTGGCCAAAGCACCATGCTTACCGGCATCAAAGATGCCACCTTCTGCTGCTGCTGCTGCTGCTGCTGCTGGTCAATCTTGAATAGCTGCACCTTGGCTCTCTTGAGGAGGCTGAACATTTTCTCCTCTACACCAGACAGTGGCAAGGAACCAAGGCCTGCAATCCGGGCCTTTTCCAGTGCTGGTGGCTGCAGTTGTAACTGTGGCTGCAGTGGTGGTAGTGCCTGGGGCAGCAGCTGAGTTTGCAAGGCCTGTAGCTGAGCCTGAGGCTGCTGCCCATTGCTCAGAGGTGGACTCCCAGATGGGGGCACCTCCACCTTAACAGGGGTGGTGACCACAGGGGCAAATCGAGGCAGGCTGAGATGGTTGGTGCGGCCCACTGCCCGTGGCTCAGGCTCAGCTGGAGATTCATCAACAGGAGGCGGCTCTGGCTCAGGGGCTTCAGGGGCCCCAAGTGGAGCAGTAGTAAGCACCGATTCATAGATCTTCAAGTGGGCTTCACTTGGGGTAAACTGAGGGGCCCGAAGGAGCAGGGGCCTCCGGGATGGATTGACAGGCGCAGGAGGTGGGGGTGGAGCTGGCGGAGGAGCCGGGGGAGGAGGGGGCAGTTCCCGGGTCAGTGAGGTCCAGCGAAATGTGGGTTCCCTTAGGATGGACCTTCTCTTTTCAGGGAGTGGGACTGGGATAGATAGGGGAGTTGGGGCACATGGTGGAGAGGGGGCTGGCGCTGGTTCCTGGGGGGCGAGTGGGGAGATAGCAACAGGAGGCCGCAGAGGTGAGACTTCCACCTTTGGGGGCTTGGGGGGATCTTCATCCATAAATCGCCGGGGTGTCTTGATGACTCGGGAGGACCGGGCACTCACCACAGGCATAATAAACTGCCGGATATTCTTCAGGAAGGTGGTGCTTTTGGGGGCCACAGTGGGGCTGTCTTCCAGAGGGCCTCCTGTGACGGTGCCAGGGGTTGGAGTGGTAGGAGAGGTGCCCTCTGGTCCTGCCCGAGCAGCTTCCCGCTCTGCCCGTTGGCTGGGAGTCAGGGGAGGCCGGCCCCTCTTCCTGGAGCATGTAGCTAGGACCACGGGAGGGGATTCTTCCTGCTCCTCTGGGGCAGGAGGTGGTGGAGGGGATGGTGGGGTTACTGAGGGTGGTGAAGGGCAAAGTGGGGATGGAGGAGATGTTGAGGGAGATGGAAGAGGTGGGGGGACTGGAGGAGTCAGGGGTGGTGAGGGCAGCTTTGCCTCTTCCTTTTCCTCAGCTATCATCATCTCCTCCTCAGTTAAAGCTCTCTCTTCCTTCTTTTCCCCTTCTTCCTTATCTTTCTCCTCCTCCGACTTCTGCTCCTTGCTCCAGCAAGGGCCCTCTCCCTGTCCAGATTCAACTCTTCCTTGGGAAGCATCCTGCCAGCTTTCCTCATGTTGATCCTGACCCTGACCTGATTCAAGTCCCAAGGACAATCGTCCCATCTTCACTCTTTTGGCCTTTGAAACAAACTTGATCACGAGGGGGAGTCCACCTCGGCCTCGGCCCCTGCCTCCACGGCCTCCTCGCCCAGACTGTCCTCCACACTTGGGGGTCCCAGGACCTGGGCCAGGCCCCTCCTTGCACTTCCAGCTCCCAGTGCGATGTTTTACTGGAACCATAGGAGGTGGGGGCTCAGATTTAGGGATTGTCACAGCTGCTTCTGCCACCATTACTGCTTGTTGCTTCTTCCTGCACGGGCCTGCAGGCCGTCCTGGGGGCCGCCCCCGAGACCGACGGGGGGTGGAGGGCTCACATGCCCGGTTCCGGGGGGCTGGGGGTGCCTGGGCCCGCCGGAGAAGTTCAGTCAGTGCTTGCACCATCCGCTCTGTACCCTCCTCACCCCGTTTCCGGGCAGGAGTCTTTGGGGGGGTAGGAGTCACATCTGCTAGGCGAGGAGGCAGAAGGGGGATCGTCTTATGCTTGTGGCCGCGACCTCGAGGGACTCGACCTAAAAGGAGAATAGGTGTGGGGAGATGGGTCAAGCTAGCCCTTTGGACTAAGGAAGGTGCTGCAGGAGGTCCAGAACTAGTCTTATTTGTCTGTTTCCCCCACAGCCCAGCCTAGCTTGGGTTTTGAACACAGAACACATCTGGTAACTGATGGAGACTGTAGTTGAACAGGGAAAAGCTGACACAAAGAGTGAGGAGTAACATTCCTTTAAAACTATAGAAGTACAGTTTCCCCATCACTCACCTCGTTGTGACCGGAGCGCAGAGCGCAGGGAACTGGGGGCCACATCGTCATCTGAATGAAAACCCTGAAATTCCTGATTTAGGGGACCAGGGGTGGAGGGGAGAAACAGCAGTCAGTGCCAAAGCCCTTGTTCCACCTGAGACTCCGGTATTGAGGAATATGCCCAGCTTCCCCCTTAAGGGACCCCTGCCTACTTACAAAAGGACTAAAAAGACTAGAAGATGAGGAGAGTAAAAAACGGTCTCTCCTTAGGCAGGAAGACACGGGGTATTTTGAACCTCCACCTCCTAGGCCTGACCATCCCAGCACAGAAAACAAAGCAGGGCCTCTCGGGCCAGGCAGCAGGCACTACCCTGACTCCCTGAGACTCCAACACAGAAAAAAGGGGGGCCTCTGTGTACACCCTCTTGGGCATCAAAGATGCCACCTCCTGCTGCGAAGGTGGGAACAGGGCCACCGAGCTGGTGTGTGTGTCTGCCACACGGGCTACCACAGTGGGATCCCCACACCTTCCTGCCTGTGCTGCGAGGCTGGGGGTACACCGGGAGCTGAGCTCAGACCTGCTCGAGTGCCCAGTCGCGGCTTTCGTTCCCTTTCTCAACCTGGGCCCCAGGAGGAAGCCCTCCACCATTCGAGCCTCTCTCCACTTAGGTCGGAGGGAAGAGGGGCACTAGTGGACACCAGGGCTGTGTCAGAGGTTGGGGCTGGGCGGGGCAGCCTGCAGCGGGGAGCCCGGAGCCAGCTGGTCCCCCGAAGCCGGGCTGCTGCTGTCACCACCCCGAGCCGGCCTGCGCTCCGCCGGCCCCTCGCCCGTGTACACCGCTGCTCCCTAGCGTTGCCGACCACCAAGGGCCAGCCCAGGGCGCTCCAGGGAGACCCGCCGGGGGCCGGTGCCCAGGCAGCTCGGCTTCCCCGGCACTTGGAAAGGCCCCTTTCGCCGACAGCTCCGTGCCGCCGACCTCCTCCCGTGCCTACTGCCAGGGCCCTTTCTCTCCGCAGGCGCCCCGAGGACCCCGCTTCCCCACGTCACTCCTCCGGGCTCCCCGGACCTCTGGAAGCCCCGGCCTCCGCCCCGCCCGGCGCCGGGGACGCCTCCGACCGCCTCACCTCATCGTCCGACTCCCCGTCACTGCTCTCCTCCTCCGGCATGCAGTCCCGGCTCGGACCCCAGCCCCGGCCCCGGCCCCGGCCCCGCTGAACGCGCGGGCCGGCCCACAGGCGGCGGAGCCGGCGCAGGCCCCGGCGGAGCCCCAGCAAACGGAGCAGGGCCGT